CCGGGGCCAAGGGCTGGGGAGGCCCAAGTCAGCAACTTGGGTGCCAGTTTTGACACCTTCTCTCCCTCTTCCACAATGTTCAGTTTACCTCTAAATCCTGCTATTTGACTCCCTAAACATCTCTCTCTAATCTGTTCACTTCTTTCTGCCTTCATTGTCATTACCCTAAAATCACAATCTCCTCTACTGTTTGCTTTCTATCTAGCCCCTCCTTCAAGCTATTCTTGCTACTGCAACAAGGGTCTTTGAAGAATTCAGTCCCACCATATTTCTTCTGGGGTGAAAGTGTGTCAGTAGTTTTTCATTGCTACTGCTATTTGGATAAAGAGCAACAGTTTACCTTGGTACCCTCCCTAACTCTAGTATCCAAACACCCTAATTACTGAATTATGTTCAGACCCTTGAAAGCAACTAGCTCTCAGTTCTACATTTGTCTTCCTGAAACACTGTCCAGACTCAAACTGTATCTTCTTTTGTCTCTTTACTTGCATGCTATAGACTGAATGTGTCTGCCACCTCTTGTCCCGCACCCCCTACAAACTCATATGAAAGCCTCAATATCCAATGTGACTGCACATGAAGACAGGACTTTTAGGAGGTAGTTAAGGTTAAATGAAGTCATGAGGATGGGACTCTTATCCGAAAGGATTAGTATTCTTATGAGACACCAGAGGGCTCCCCTGTCCCCGTTTGTCTTTCTCTATCTACCTCCACCTCCACGTGGGGACACAGCAAGAAGCTGCCGCCTACAAAGCCCTCATTTGACACTAAATTGCCTGGCACCTTGATCTTGGGCTTCCCAGCCTTCAGAAGTATGAGAAACAAATTTCTGTTCCTTGAACAACTCAGTCTATGGTATTGTGTTATAATAGTTTGAGCTGACTGATACACCACACCCTGAATACCACCACTTACTTCTTTGATCTCAACTGTCAAAAGACCTCAACTGAGGCAACTTTTCTGCGGGAAGACTTCCCTAAGTGACCCATCTGGAAATGGTACCCAGTTATGCTCTCAGAGCATTATGTGTTACCATGATTCTCTCATACAATATCACATCATGTTTCACATGTGGATTTCCCAATGGACCAGACACCATGAAGTCAAAGAACCCAACACTGTGCAGACTCAGAATTTTGCACATGTCTGATGCAGTCATGTCTCTGTGGATACTTTATTATATTGATTTGACTGTTTAAAAGGGAAGTCTATTTTCACCCCTCTCTTTCCTAGCCACGAAATATTTGTATAGAAAAATTTGAAAATATACTGAAGGAACGACCAAACTAATAACTTTAAGGGAAGTAAGCTAATTTATAAGAGAATGGTCTTCTATACCATTTATAAATATTTATGAGACTAAAACCAAATAAAGGAATTGCAAAAGGATTTCTAAGTCCTTTATAAGTCCTTCATAAATCCTCTATAAGTCACTGCCACTTAGCACATATGTAACCTTAAAAAAAACTTAACTTCCTTGCCACCCATTCCTCAGTTGTACATGGAGGAGAATAAAAAGAACCTGGCTTTTAGAACTGTAGGGAACACTGAACAACAACAACAAAAACACACAGATAAAAGTTCCTAGACTAACCTTCAGTACTTACTAAATACTTGATAAATGTTACCTCTTTTAACTTTTTAAATTAGTAAAACAGGTTCAAGAAGAGTCAAATTCTTGGTTCTGTTGCTCAACGGGCCCCAGATTAAGGGCTGGGACTAGACTGTTCTACGGATTGTTAAGAATTATTGATTTTCACGGGCTCTCCGTCTGAAGTTGCCATCTCTGACCCATAATATTTTATTTTATTTATACCCCACTGTGTTCGAGAAAGGACTTCCTGGAGCTTACAGATGAACATAAAATACAAGCAATATGAGTTAAAGGCAGAATAAAGAGGAGAGACAAACAAGAATGAGGACTGAGCATGTTAAGGCTTGAGATGAAATACTAAATCAAAAGAAGCCAGAATAAAAATGTTATTTTAATTTCTCTTTCATTCTCTCACTCCTTTCTTCTTTCTCAAGATGATTTAAATGCTACTTTAACTTTTTAAGAAATCCAGATTATTTAAGTTATTATCCCATAAAACAAATCTATACTTGCATATCAAAACTAATTTTCCATGTTTTTGTGTGTGAAGCCATATTTCAATATGCAAATAAACAGACTACATATTAATTAAGGGAGATGAAAGAGCTTAATAGTGACTAAGCCCCTATGACCTGCTGGATATTAGTCCAAGCTTTCATTCAGGTTGCTTTTTGATACCACAACCCTATGGAGTAAACATCCACTTTATAGATGAGCCACAGAGAAGAGAAGTGATTTGCTCAAGTACAGAGTAAAAACTCAAGCCTATGTCTGTTTCAGATGCTTGAACTACTATCATCACACCAGGGGCAGAACTTCAAGAGATGAGACATACATTTGCCCACAGACATAATAGTTCTAAAAGGTCCTTGTGAACACTGAGCTTTTTGGTTTCATTTTCCTACTGAGAGATTTTTTTTTTGGTAAGGGGTGTATGTCATTACTTGGTTTTGCGTACACAATCTGCCATACTGGTAGCAGTAGGGAAAATCAGGGGTGGTTAGAAAAAAAGTCTTAGCAGATATGCAGGGCAACAGGAGTCACTCAGAAGGTTCCAGGTCATCTCACCCAAGTGTGATACTGCTACTGCTGCTGCTGCGTCACTTCAGTCGTGTCTGACTCTCTGCGACCCCATAGACGGCAGCCCACCAGGCTCCCCTATCCCTGGGATTCTCCAGGCAAGAACACTGGAGTGGGTTGCCATTTCCGTCTCCAGTGCATGAAAGTGAAAAGTGAAAGTGAAGTCGCTCAGTCGTGTCCAACTCTTAGCGACCCCATGGACTGTAGCCTACCAGGCTCCTCCATCCAAGGGATCCTCCAGGCAAGAGTACTGGAGTGGGGTGCCATTGCCTTCTCCCACCCAAGTGTAAAACCAACAAAAAACTATGTGTCAGAGAAGCAAATGGATGTTAAGATTCCGGATTAAGTATGGTGGAAATAAATGCTTATGGCAGAATCAGAGAAGATTTCGGAAATGTCCTTGGAGCCAAGGGGGAAGTGAAGATGCTAAAACCTTTACAATCATTTTATTCACATCTGAATGCTAAGAAATCACTGAAACTTGAAGTACAAACACTTCTTCCTCCCACAGGCAAAGACTCAGAAAGCACTCAGGTAAAATTTAAAATTGCGATATCTCTAGTCATTTCTTGTCATCCTATCACTCTTTCAGTAAATTGCCATTATTTATTATTACACAGGAGCTGTGTGAGTTAGCTTGTGAAATATCAGGTCTAACAATATTAACTATGATTAGTTCAGCTCTTTGAATAGTCTGTGAATGGTGTGATTAGATCTTTTTTTTTCGTTTTTTCTTTTCTGACCATGTCGCACAGCTTGTGGGACCCTAGTTCCCTGACAAGGGATTGAACCCATGTCCCCTGCAAGGGAAGCATGGAGTCCTAAACAATGTACTACCAAGTAATCCCCTTTTTCATGACTGTAACTTTTCATAACTGCACATGATTGTCTTAAGTGTACTGTTCATCTTTTGCTCCATTATTCTGAAAATTTTTTAAGCATTCTTTAAGTTTAAAGTAGAAAAAAAATTGGAGAAGGAAATGGCAGTCCACTCCAGTGTTCTTGCCTGGAGAATCCCAGGGACGGGGGAGCTTGGTGGGCTACCGTCTATGGGGTCGCACAAAGTCGGACACAACTGAAGTGACTTAGCAGCAGTAGCAGCAGCAGAAAAAAAATTGAACATCCACGACTTTTTTTTAACTACAAATCTCTGGGGTTTAAGGTAAGGCAGGAGTTGACAAATTACAGCCAAATCCAGTTGGCTGCCTGCTTTTGTAAATAAGAATGTACTGGGCCAGAGCCCTGGTCTCATTTACCAGGTATTGTCTCTGGCTGCTCTTGTGCTGCACTGGCGCTGGTGAGTGACTGTGACAGGCTCCACCTGGTCCACAAAACCCGAAGCATTTACTATCTGGTCATTTACAGAAAAAGACCAATCCCAGTGGGAGGGAGGAAGCGATTTTATTTCTTACATTTGCATGCCAGAAACAAAACAAAACTAACAGTATGTCATGAGGGTGGTATCCTCTTTCCTGTGTGATGAGGTGATATTTTTTCTCCTGTGTTCTGTGAATTCTCTCTAAAAACACATTTTTAATAAAAAAAAAATCCAAAAAAATTGAACCAAACGGGAATTCAACCTGCAAACCCTCCGGTAAGCCCGCCCCCCCAAGCCTCCAAAAAAAGGGTAAAATTTTTCTATATTAGTAGTGAGGGAGTCAATTACTAGGTAGGTTGCTAAGAAGTCCAGGGTCCCCAAGGAGGAGAAAGGGTCCGGAGCCCTTGAGAAGGAGAAAAGAGCCTGGGGATCTCAAGGAGAAAAGGACAAACATTTTTTTCTATATTGCTTTGTCTTAGTCAATATAACAATGTATCATGCAGGAGGATGTGTTTCTCCTTAACAAGAACCCTCTGACTAATCTTGTTATCTTAAGACATATATTGTGGGAGTGGCTCTGGTAAGACCTTTCTATTGTTAGTTCTAATTTTACTTAAGATGTATGTGTGGGAGTGGGTCTGATAAAAGTATATGACGTCTTGATAAGACTAGCCAGTGGGGGCACTCTCCATCCCCCTTCTGATGTCTGTGTCAGAAGCTTTCTCTGTCCCTTTTTCTTACCTTAATAAAGCTCTGCGACACAAAAGCTCTTGAGTGATCAAGCCTGGTCCCTGGTCCCAAAGCTAAATCTTCGGAGATCACAAATCCAACACCATTCACCGTAAGCTATCAGTAGTTACCATACTGCACAGCCATTCTTTTTTCTTCTTGCTTCTGAAACAAGCCCATGAACTTCATAATGACCAAGAGATCCACCTAAGTCTTTTTCTAGGGCCTCACTCAGAAAACAATGACATTATAGGATGATGAGAGAAAACACTTCCTTACCTTTACAGCTTACAGAGTATAGTAGTCCTCCCTTAACTGTGGTTTCACTTTCTGTGGTTTCAGTCCTGCAGTCAACAGAGCTCTGAAAACATTAAACGGAAAATTCCAGAAATAAGCAATTCAAACGTTTTAAACTGTGTGCTCTTCTAAGCAGCATTATAAAATCTTATGCCATCCCACCCAGGACATGAATCACCCCCTTGTCCAGCATATCCTGCCCATTGATCACTCTGTAGCTGGCTTGATTATCAGATCCACTGTGGAGACATACCAGTGTTTGTATTCAAGTCGCCCTTATCTTAGGTAATAATGGCCCCAAAGTGCAAGAGCAGTGATGCTGGAGATTCAGATATTTCAAAGAGAAGCCACAAAGCGCTTTCTTCAAGTGAAAGGTGAAAGTTCTTGACTTAAGGAAAGAAAAAAAAAAAATCATATGCTGAGGTTGCTAAGAGCTACAGTAAGGATTAATCCTCTACTCATGAAACTGTCAAGAAGGAAGAAGACATTCATACTAGTTTTGCTTTCACATCTCAGACTGCAAAAGTCTTGGCCACAGCATGTGAGAAGTGTTCAGTGAAGACGAAAAAAGGCATTAAATTTGTCCAAAAAGATACTGTGAGAGCCCACTTTGTATAATTTTTATTATAACATACAGCATACAGTTGTTCTATTTTATTATTGGTTATTGTTGTTAATCTCTTACTGTGCATAATTTAAATTCAACTTTATCATAGGTATGTATGTATAAGAAAAAACATGTAAGACTTGGTACTATCTGAGGTTTCAGGAATCCACAGGGGGTCTTGGACCCCCTTGGAGAAAGGGGGACATATTTTCATAATGGTTGTCTGTCTTCCTACTTTTTCTCAAATATTACCTGTCAGAGAAGGATTCCCTGAACACCCTATACTATTTAAAAAAAAAACAAAACTACACACTAACCCTTTTACTCAACTTTATTATTTTTATAGTACACATAACTACTTGATATAGCAAATGTTTATTAGTTTACAGCCCCTCTTCTAGAATGCAAGCTCCCCATGGGTAAATTTTAAGTCTCTGTGGTTAACCACTATACTTTCAGTGACTAGCATATAAAATTGGTAGAGCTGTATCTGTTATCATTTTATAGATACTAAGGAAATCAATATGGAAGATGCTGAGTTTTGGTTTTGCTTTTAAGTGGAAGAAGTTATATTTGATTTATATATATATACATATATATATATACATATGTATATATATACACATGTACAGTCTTCTTTCTTTTCCCTGTGAAAATAAGCAGTGGCTTACACATTTGAAATTTCTTATATAAATGTCATTTTTGAAAACAAAATTTGCAAACTATGGCCTCTTTTCTAAAAGATCATCTTTTTTTGTATTTAGTTAATATTTATTTATTGTGGTTTTTAGTCAAGTTTTTCTACAGTTTTATTGAGATATAATTGACAAATAAAATTATAGAGGTATACTTATGACATGCTGATTTAATATCTACATTGCAGTATGATTACATAAATATATACACATATATAGCAATATAGTGTTAGCTAACACCTCCATCAGGTCACATAATTATATCCTGATTGTAGTGAGAACATTTAAAGTCTAAACATTTAAAGTCTANTTATATAATTTGATATTCAATCAAATGCCAAGTCCGTGATTTAAAACATTTTTTAAAATAACAATGTGAGATACAATTCCCATACTATAAAATTCATCCTTTGAAGTGTACAATCAAATTTCTTTTCTAAGTATATTCACAAAATTGCGCAACCATCACTACTATGTAATTTCAGTACATTTTTATCATCCCTAAAAGGCACATGCCATTCCTATTAGCAGTCACTTTCCATTTACCCACAAACTCCCCAGTCCTAGGCAAATGTTAATATATTTTAATATAATTTAATATATTTTAATATTTTAAAATATTAAAATATTTTAATATTGTAATTTAAAATGTTAATATATTTTTCATTTCTAAGGATATCCTTATTCTGGACACTTCATATAAGTGACATCATACAATGTCTGGCCTTTAAAAACTTATATATTCCTTTATTTTTGGCTGTGCTGGGTCTTCGTCACTGTGCAGGTTTTTCTCTGCTGTGGTGACACAGGGGTTACCCTAGTTGCAGTGCACGGGCTTCTCACTGCTGTGACTTCCTGCGTTACAGACCACAGGCTCTAGAGCACAGGCCCAGTAGCTGTGATGCGCAGACTTAGCTGCTCCAGGGCATATGGGATCTTCCAGGTTCAGGGATTAAACATGTGTCTCCTGCATTGGCAGGCAGATTCTTTACCAATGAGGCACCGGGGAAGCCCCAATATCTGGCTTTTTGTATCTGTTTTCTTTCACTTGGCGTATTTTCAAGGTTCATCCACAGGTTAGCAGGTTATCAGTACTTCGTTCTTTTTTGTAGTTGAATATTATTCCACTGTATGGATATACTACATTTGATTTATCCATTCATCAGTTGATAGACATCTGAGTGGTTTCTACTTTGGGGCTATTATGAATAATGATGAATAATGAATACATGCTATGAATGTTTGTGTGAGTTTTACATGCATATATGTTCTCACTTCTTCTGGGCTTATTGCATAGGCATGGAATTGCTGGGTCATATAGCAACACTATGTTTAACTTTTTGAGGGAATGTCAGACTGTTTTTATAGTATATTATCTTACGTTCTCAGCTGCAGTGTATAAGGGCTCCAATTCTTCCATATCCTCACCAAGACTTACTGTTTTCTTATTATAGCCAAACTAGTGGGTATGAAGGAGTCCCAGTGGAAGGCTCCATTAACTTTTTTTAAAGAATCAGTTTCTAAGTATCATTTGAATATTATACATCAATTATCTACATATATTAATATACACATATATAAATAAATAATTGATCATTATGATCACAATCTCTGAAAATTTGGCAAACAGTCCTTGAAGCTATTTATGTATTCATTCACTTCTATTGAATTCCCAGGGCTCAATTTGTTGTATTTTAACAATACTCTTGTGGAGTAAGTTGGTAGGGAAATCATCTCCAAGAGCTATAAGCTGAGAAAGGCTGTCAGCCAAAAATAAATCATCCTATTCACAGTCCAATGCTTTATTACCAGGTCACTCTGCCCATGGATAAGGAATGGGAAAAATGAGTGACATAGAAAAGCCTCACAGATTGTACACTCCATTAGAATATCTAAATTTAAAGCAGAACCTGCACCTACAATATGTCTTTTTATGATTTGTCCCATTTGCTTTTAAAGCCAGGAAAGTGACAATAAAAAGACTCTGTATCATGTAAAATGACATGTTTTATTTTTCACATTCATTCTCCAAAGAGGTAGCATTACAAAGAAATAGCATCTCTCTGAAAGCCAAAGTACTTCCATCACTTATGAACTCTTCATGGCAGTGGTAGAAAAGCAAATATTTAAGTTCTCAAAAATCAAGACACAGTTTACTTTTAACACAGTATAACTTCAAATCTTTTTTCAAAGGCCACTTCGTAGTTGAGGAACACCTTATTTAAAACTGAAAACCTCCCTCCCGTACTTCCAGCTCCAACTATTCTCCTTTTCTATTATTTCTTCAAAATATTGATTACCTTCTCATCTCATTTAGTCATTTATTTTATTTACTATTTGCTTTCCCTGTTGTAATGTTAGTTCCATGAAGGCAGAGACTTTTGCCTGTTTTCTTTTTTTCATTACTTTACTTCCAGAGTCTGAATGAATATTTCTTGAGTAAACAAATGAATGAAAATGGCCACTATAATGGGTCTTTGTAGTCTTTGATTTTCCAGATGCCTCTGATTTTTCTTAAGTTCATATTTATTAGCCTTTTCTTAGCTTTGATTTTGACTGAGGATAAATTCCTCATACTCTGCTTCTCCTTTATGTCTGTGATTTATGAGTCTGTCCCAGAGCCACTTCTTGTTGATGGGTCTCGGCGCTTACCTTTTCCTACTCCCCACTGTCTACAGGCCACCTCTACAACTGAGTATGTCCCCAATAGAAATTATCATCTCCCCACAAACCTGCTGTGGAGTTGGGAGCTCCAAGTTGGTTAATAACAACACTAACACCCAGTCTCCTAAGCTGGTGACATCTGTATCCTCAGCTCCTCTCTCGGTTGATCTACAAGCGTGTTTCCGATACCCCGGCACTCAGTTTCTCCACATCCACACTGCCGCTCTCCTAGCCCAGATCCGTACCCTCAGCCCTGAGGCAGCTGCGGTCTTCTCTATGCCTGTGTGTGGCGAGGCCCAGGAAACCTAAAGGAACTGCCACACCTGCAGCCACACTTGGAAGAGCTGGACTCAGGGCTATCTGTGGTAATTAACAATGGCTTGGAAGCCGCCTCGATACATGATGGATCTGTGATCAGACAAAAGCTAAACATAACCATGTGTGTGAGCTGGACATGGGTAGGTAAAGGCAATCATTTTCGAGGCTGCCAGTATAAACAAGAAAAGTAGCCCCTGACTTGGGGAACTGACCTGACTCTAACACCTGGATCTGTGTGTGGTTAGCAGCTGACCTGGCATTCACAGGTAGGCCATGGCATCCTCAGAATCTCCCAGAGTCCTACACCTGATGACACCAAACAGACAAAACAAACTTCACAATCTTATCTAAGTCCATATGAAAACAAGGTCACTATGTAAACCACAAAATTCCAAAAAGTCCCCTCTCCCAGCTAATATAAATGACTGCTGCTTCTGTAACAATGACAGCCTTAGCCTCATTGTTCTAGTTACAATCAAGATATGCAATCACAGAATTATTCCCCTCACTTTCTGAGAGCATCCAGCAAAGCCCTGCTTCCTTGAGCTCTTCCCCAGATCACTTAACAGCAGCTCAAGTTCCATAAGAAGTCCTTTCTAACACTGTTTTACTGAGATGCCTCCCAGGTCCCCATGGTGAGCACTCTCCCTTGCTGCAAAGAACATGAGACCCAGCAGGTCCAACTCAAGGTTTGTACCTGATAGTTGTTGGCTGAAGAGTTTGGACCCTGGTGTGGGAACGCAGCTCTGTATTTGGTTGAATCAAGTAAGCCATTTAGAG